AAGGGTTTAGGCCACCGCTCATTTGGGTATATGCAATTTCTGTGACTTGGGTCGTGGTTCGTTGACCGCGGTGTCTCCTGCACCCCTCAGGGGGTGCTGTCCTATTTCTGACCTAACGGAAAACTTACCCTATTGTCAGAGTACCGAAGATTAGGGACTGCGCCAAGCGTTCCGGTGATCTGTACTCTGGCACGCTACGATGTAGGCAAGGATGCCCAGTGCATGTTCATCCTGTCTGAACTTAGAGATCTATGCCACCTTCTTCCCGCGCAGTTTGGATAGCTCTTACCCCCGTCACCGAGGGTTGTAACTGAGCTGATTCTTACGGCTTTCAAGTGATGTTCAACACTAGCAATACCTCCCTCCAGTAGCATTATGGAATGTGTTGTGAGACCCTGAAGATAAGTACTTCTCTATTCTCACAGCAAAGGCGCAGTAACCATACAATGGTAGCTTCCAATTTAAGCTCTTAGAAGCCAAAGGGCCTTATTATGTCCCTTAGCTCCTGCGCCTTCAGTCCTAAATCCCTAAACCCTGAAATCCCCAATCCTGAGTCCTAAGCCCACGGCCCACGGAACCCGGCCGTCCTGAACCCCACATCCCTCAGTCCCAAACCGCTAAACCCTGAATCCTTAAAGCCCCAATCCTGAAGTCCTGAATCCTGAAACCCTAAATCCGAAACGTCCTACCTCCTATAATATGCCTTGGGAGGACCCCTCACCCTGTAATAGTGGTATAATAGGAATATAAGAGGACCCTAATATAATCCTTATTATATCTCCATTATAGTCACTATTACTGGGTGGGGGGTCCGCCTGAAGTATGCCCTCTGAAGTACCTGGGACCTTCATCTACGCAGGCCTGTTTCCAGCCGCCGGGCCCTCCAAGGCATGAATGGAAGATCAGGCCTCAGAGCCCTGCTTAGGGTTTCCGGGCTTAGGGTTTAGGGTGTTAGGGTTTCAGGGTTTAGGGTTTAAGGGGTTTAGCGTCGATGGGTTTAGGGTTCACGGTTTAAGGGCTTAGTGTGCAAGGGCTAAAAGGTTTAAGGGTTTAGGGTTCAGGGCTTAGGGTTTAGGGTTCAGGGCTTAGGGTTTAAGGGTTTAGGGCTTAGGGAACAAAGGTTTAAGGGTATACAGGTTTGGGGTGTAAGGTTTAGAACGTAGGGTTTAAGAGTTTAGTGTTTAGAGTTTTGAGTGCAGGGTCTTGGGGCGTAGGTGATATGCATGAGGGCTGCACAGCTCTGTTAAGCGTTTACGCCGCTACACTTCCGGGTTAAGGCTCCAGGTGTCAAGTGCATATAAGCTTGGATACGTCCTTGCATGAGAAAGCAGGCATATGCAGGATGTTACTTCATGTGCTGCTTTGAGAGGCCTTGTGAGGTCAAAGGGTGGGCTTAATTACCCGTGTTTGGGAATGGAACGTTGCCTGCTGGTTGCCAAGTGAGGAGAAGAAGGGTTAGGATGGAGAGAGCACAGAGGTAATCCTGACACAGGCAACGTTGATCATAGCATCTAGACCACCGCACCTCAAGCCGCGCCCCCCAACTCCTCCCCGCACCCAACTTCTGAAATTCAGGTGTCCAGGGCTTCGAGGTTTTGAAGGCATGGTTCGGAATGGCACTTCAGAATGTTCGTTCCACATGATTAGGGTCTGCTGAACCAGCGGTACAGAATTGGTACAGCCGGAAGGTAGGAAGTTGATCGTTAGCTTGCGCAACTAAGGTGGTTGAATACCGAACAAATACTTAATGGAACATGGGCAAGACCTGATGCACGCAGGGACCATAGAAGTATCAAAGTACACGTGCTGAGAGCTGCCATGAGGTAAGAGAGGGCAAGGTTTAGTAGGCAGAATAGACCATGTCCCACAACCTTAACACCCCAAAGCTCTAAATCCTGAAGCTCTCAAGCCCTAACCCCCAGAACCTTAAACCAGAACCCCTCAAGACCCTGAACTCCAAACGCAGCGCAATCCAAGCCGTAAGCCTGCAGGCGTGAAAGAACGCGATCGAGAAGGACCTATTCTCTGCCGTGTGATCTTTCTAGGTGCCCCCAGTAGTACCCTCTTCCCCTTTTTTATATGGGGGTCTCCACATTAAGGCTAAGTATCAGGAAAAAGGGGACCCTTATTATTGATGGGTTACTGGGGAACCTAGCTTTCATACCCTGGCTCCAAAGGCAGGGCATAAGAAGGGACCACAAGCCTGTTACCCTAGATGGATTTGGGGTCCATGTAATTGGAATCCATGTAATTAAGGAGAATTGGTTCAATCAAGGACAAGTGCAGGTGCCGTTTGGTAGTGGACGCTGCTTCAGGCTGGTGATCGTCTTTGTGGTCAATGAAAGGTCATCTGGAGCACTGCGGTCCTAGCATCCACCAAAAAGACTGCATGACCACAAGTACCTTTTGGCTTGCTAGTTGTGGTATCTTGGTTTCTAAAGTATCGCAGAAATTCTTGATATCAACAGAAGCCAAACTGCCGCAAGATAGGACGAACGACAAACCAGTGATGGTGGACAAAATCCTGCATGATAGGATCCATTATTTGACCACAAACCCCAGGGTTTAGGCATGTAGGGTGGTGCAAGATATTGTCCATCAACCGTAAGGCCTATGTGAGGCAATGTGAGGGGTAGCTTCCACAAGTCCTAAGCTTGAGGTACTGCCGCCACTCTGTAACAGTTGGATAATGTTCTGTAGCCTTCAGATGACTTCTAATATCCACTGTTACAGGTGGTGGGTGTAGGCAGTACCCAACCTAAGCTACTTTCAAGGGCTTTGGGTTCAGGTATACGATGCAGGGCATCAGGGAATCGATCCCTTCAGCACTCGTTATACTCACCTTCCCTAATATCAAAACCCCGCACCTCTCTAACAGTACATGTCCCCTCTGTATGATAGTAGACCATAGTGGGAATATTGAAAATGAGGGGTGTGTGGGTTTTAGCAACAAGGATACGGGACTGGAATCGTCCCTAAACTTTAATCCCCCAAGTCTAAACCCTAATCCCGTCCTTAAACCCTACGCCCTAAACGGTCAGCCTTGCAACGCATTTCTCACACTTCTCGCTGAAGACCAGGAGCTGGCGATGACTTAATCACTTCAGTTTAGGGTTTAGGGTT